ATTCCATATAACTGAGCCATGCCAATTAAAGTGGTGCCAAGCTGCATGTATTCCACAGTGTAGGAGGTACACTCCTTCCCTAAGAAATCCATGGTGTTATTGTAAGAAAGCCATGGCACAGAAACACAGAGCTGGCTTAACAGCATGGCAGTTAAGATGGTGCCAAACGGCATTAATTCTACAACATATATAGATCAGGCTCGGGCAAACTTCAGCCCTCCAGGTGTTTTGGAGTTCAACACCCACAATTCCTAACAGCTGGTAGGTTGTGGGAGTTGAAGTCCAAAACACATGGAGGGCCGAAGTTTGCCCATGCTTGTTATAGATGCACCCATGGAATACTAAGGGCCCATCTGCACTGTGAAAATAATGCAGTTTGACACCATTTTAGCTACAAAGGCTCAGTGCTATGGAATAAAGGGAATTGTAGTTTTAGATAGTATTTTAGCCTCTGCCAAAGAAGGCCAATGCCTCACCAAACTACACCTCTCACAATCCCATAGCATTGAGCTGTGGCAGTTAAAGTAGTATCAAATTGCATTAAGTTGACACTGTGGGCACAGCTTCTGAGATAGTTTTACTAGTTCCTTCCTCAGGAATATAATCTGCGGCACCTGACATTCATGGGGAGGTCTCCCATCCAAGCGCTAACCAGAACCGGCCCTGCTGAGACAGTATTGTACACAACATAGGCAGTTTTACACACATTTTTGAAATAATGCTGGGTGAAGCAAAGCCTGTGCCCATTGAGCCATCTGAAAGGAAAAGTGTCACTGTCTTAACTATCTGGACAAATTTTGAATATTTATTTTTTTATACTTTCAGAGATAGGATGTTGAATAATTTGCATTCAAGGATATCCATGTTCAATCAGAATGTCATACATAACTTGAACATTGGGAGTGCTGCTTTATTTTAATTGAGGGTATTTTCATGAAAATGTTATTGGGCATTCATTCTCCTATTTAGAAGTAGAAACTTCTCCATGACAGACAATCATGACATTCAGTTTATGTAAAATGTTTTTTTTAAAAAAAAAAAAAAACCCAGAAAAACAGAGAGCAGCAGACACATTATTTCCTGACTACCAACTGGGAAATAACGTGAATGTAAAAGAATGGGAGTGTTGTGTTTCTATTTTATTATGTTTGAAGGGTGTTTTTAAAACCTGTGTTTTTTAAACAGGACTGTGATTTAACTGTGTTTTAGTTTTGGTTTTAATGGATTTCTTAGTTGTTCTGTGGTTTTATATGGTTGTAAGTCACCTTGAGTCCTAACCTGAGAGACAGGTAAGCTATAAATGCATAAAAACAAATGAAAATGACTATCATAAATGCTTTAAAAACTGTTTAGAACACAAATTAAAAATATCTCTCTTATGGCAGGCCGACCCAGTCAATTTTGAACTATGAATTTTAAATTTGCATCCTGTTATTATCATGTTTTAATTTTTGTACTATGTATTTTGGCATACGAGTTTGGGCTGTATTGTACCCTGCCTCAATGAGTGATTAATAGAGGTTATTAATCACTGCTTATTGATTGATTGATTGATTGATTGATTATGATTGTTCCTGTTATGTGCGGCAAAGTTTGAAGTAGTGAAAACCTGGAAAAAGTTAGAGAATGTGACGATAAAGAAATGGTTCAACAGGATATGAGCAATAGCTTTACTGGAAAAATTAACCTAAGTTAACCTAACTTGGAAATTGTTTATTAGTTTCATGTGTAAAAGCAATGGCCAATTTAAACCACCAACGTCCAAGAAAGATTATGGTTGAATCCTTTATGTGTACATTACAATCATTTTATGTAACGAATAAAATTAGAGTAATGTAGAGGTAATAGAATTGACTGCTGTATTTTTATAATGTTATGTAACTAATGGGTGGGTTGGAGGAGCATAGAACTGGGAACAGAGGATGAATAAGACATTCATATTACGTTTCAAATGTTTAAAAGTAATTGAGAATAATAAAATAATGGATAATAATAATTCTTATTAATAACTATTATAAAACACTAGAATATGTGTGTGTGTGCGCGCACATATATATATAGATATAAACTTTTCAGAAAGGGTTGGGTTAGCAGTTATTCACAGAAGACACTAAACAAAGGGTGCCTGTATGTTGAACTACATCTTCTAACAGCCCTATCCAGCATAGTCATATGGTAAGAATGGCAGTTCAGCAATATTTGAAGGGCTTGCAGTTTGTAGCTCTCTGCAGGCATGACAAAGAGTATTCGATTGGCATGTAGGGATCCTGTTGAGTATAAAAAAAGACAGACTAAGAATGCATCTACACTGTCATATCAATGTAGTTTGAAACGATTTGAGCTGTCATGGTTCAATGCGATAGAATCATAGGAATTGTAGTTTTACAAGGCCTTTAGTCTTCTCTGCCATTGACTGCTCGTCCCTCACCAAACAATAAATCCCAGAATTATGTAACTCTGAGCCATGGCAGTTCAAGTGGTATCAGACATTATTTCTACAATGTAGATGCACCCTAAGGTTGTCTATAAGATTCATAGAATCATTGAGTTGGAAGAAACCTCGTGGGCCATCCAGTCCCCTGCCAAGAAACAGGAAAATCGCATTCAAAGCACCCCCGACAGATGGCCTGTTTAAAAGCCCCCAAAGAAGGTTGATTTTTTAAAAGCAAATAAAACATGGATGTTCAAGGCCTGTTATATATGATGGCATAGTAAAATGGCCGTCCCTCATATAAAATGGCAAAATCAAAATCCTTTTTGGATTTTTAAAAATATGGTATTTTCAGTCCATGGATTATTGAATCCATGGATGCAGAGGACTGACTGTATAATATGCCTGAAGCTCTACTAGAGTTGTGATTGATTGCTGTTGCCTTTGAAGCCTGAACCTATAGCCTGCCTGCTGTAGCATTTTATGCCCATCACTTTCTCAAGAGGCAACTATAATACTCCCACATCCTGAAAAAATTAAGTAGAGAAAAAGTTTTTAAAAACAAAGTGGAAGAGGAGATAAAAATACATATGTATACTCCAGTATTACAAGCTTAAAAGGGGAATCCAATATATCTGGCGGGTACTCTATAGGAAAGCCTGACTTTCCATATAGTGTGGTCTGGATTAGAGAATTTGAAAAACTCAAAATGTGCCCTGAAATGTGATGTAGAGAATTTATGCTAAAAAGTGTAGTGAATAGTTGGAAGAATTTCGCTTGCTCAGATGATGCTCCCAACAAGAAGACCAAAAAAGAAAAAAGGATCCATGTTCGGAGCCTACTATGCATATTGTACAAGTTACATGAAAAATAGTTTATATCCAGTAAACAAATCAAATACACCTCAATTCTACTCTGAATGTACATTCCTGCTCAGTGTTTGTATGCTAAGCAAGGTTAGGTTTGGTTAGTACATGGATGTTTAGTACAAGAGTACCAGAGAAATACGAGGGATCTCGACAGGATTGATCAAGGATTGCATCAGGGACAATGAAGAGGTATTGCCGGTCAAGCTGCCAATACTAGGCTAGATCAATAGTTGATTCAGCAAAAGGAAATTTTCTGTGTTACTAAGTGGAAATACTTTCACGGTTCATTATATTTTGCAAAGATGCTATGGTTTTGCTCTGGTAACCAACCTCTTCCCCTTAAGATACGTGTCCAGTATCCCATACATGCAAAAACAAGTATCTACGTGTATGTGGGTGTTAATGGAATTAGCTGTGGCCATGGCACTCTGAGGTTGAGAGAGGGTATCTGTGTGGGCAGCAGTTTAGCAAATGTTGAACTGACCTGTTACTAGCACTGTAATCCGCCAGGTTTAGTGCCAACCAGTTCTTAGGGTTTTAGAGAAGACTTTAGTAACGGGCAGGATTTAGAAGAGAAAAGTCAGGAGGAGAACTCCCACAGAGCCTCCAAGGGTTTAACTGGTTCAGCTCTGGAGCAAAGCGCTTTATAGTGAGCCTAGCACAACATTCGAGCCCTGGATTTGGCAAGAGCACTTTTATGCCCATTATTTCACCAATTTCTCCTGCCTATCATACATGACAGGAAACAATTGAAAATTACCTATCCTCAAATCTTCCCAGGCATCAGCTCACATACTACTTAAACTGAAAATTCAGGAGAAACAGGAGTACTTGTTGACATTTCTCTAGCAATTGACATTTCAGTTACATTCCAAAATAAATTTTCTCTTTCCACGTAGAAGAAGCCACTGTTCTCCCTGCTGAGAGGTCTGACAAACTTCCTCAGTCCACTATCCAATGGATTTTGGAAATATGGGTTTAGATCTCAGACGATGGTGCTTAGTACAAGACATGCCTCTCCGCAGTTCACTTCCGAATGTTCCAAATGTTTCTGAGATGGATTTTGAACTTAGAAGGATGAAAATACCCGTTTTGCTGGTATGGTATCAAGTAAAGGTCTAAGAACCAAGGGCAGTAAGATAACATAGTCATGGCAGTCAGCTTTTATCTTTTGTTTTCTTGTACACCTTCAAAAAAGCAACTTGTCAGCAAAAACATTTATTGGCTCGTTTAATTTTTCATGACAACAGTTCTGCATTTCAAGTACAGTGGGCCCTTGAGATCCCTTGGGGTTTGGTGGCAGGCCCACCCACAGATACCAAAATCTGTGGATGTTCAAGTCCCATTAAATACAAAGCCATAGGAAAAAGGTTTTCCCTTATACAAAATGGCAAAATCAGTATTTGCTATTTGGTTAGGGGTTAGTGAAGGATTGAATCTGGGGATACGGAAATCATAGATATCGAGGGACAGCTGTAAACAGAATGCTTGTATAGGCTTAAAAGGGGATAAATGGAATTCCAGTAATGCATGTGACTTCCAAATCCCATTTTTAAAAAATCGACCTGATAATTAGAATGGATTGGATACTTCTTTAACGTTATAGCAAGAACCACAGCGCCACCTACTGAATGAAGACAGCCTTCCATATCAAGACACCCAACTGGTCTCATTTAACCAAGAATACACAAGATCAAAGCTTTCAACAATAAAAATGACAAGAGCCTTTATTGAATAAAAATGTGTCATACTTAGCAAGATTGAGAAGTATAATATTTTACAACTCTAAAATATAGTTAGAGCTAATTTCAGTGAATACATTACAAAAAGATTAAGACTATTAAGTAAACCCTTTACCGAGCTCAAAATACTGATTTATAAAATACACGCAGTTGGAAAGCACTAAAAACACAAAGCTAAGAATCATTTTTTAAAAATTTCCACTGTTTTGCCTATCTTGCTGTTTTTTTTTTTTTTGCACGCAGTGTTTTTGCAGTGCTGACTCTTAAATCTGGCAGTTTGGTACATACAGAATATCATAACTTAGACATTATGCAAAAAAGCAGAATGGAAGTTTCAAGCAGGAAATATTCCAGAAGACAAGCATGGAATGAAAGTAGTTATACCTTGCATATAAAGCTTTGCCCTCTATGCAGTCCTTCACTTTGCATTACTCTTGGAAATAAAGATGCCATATTCTTACCCAGGCTTATGAAAGATATTGTGTTCTGGCCAGCCAGAAGACTCAGACTCACCTGAGTTCCAACTTACAACAAGAGTTGTGTGTACACAAGAAAAGCAAAGTGCAAAAAAGATTATCCTCCTGGTCACTGTCAAGGAAACAGCCTCACCTACAACCATGCTGCTGGTTGCATATTTAAATGACTGTCATGATTGGATGTCTAGCTAGAAGATAGTATTTTCACTATACATGTATTCATTGTGCCTTTACACATACATTAAAGTGCAGCAGCCTTTCGAAGTGGTAACCATTCCCCTCTGGAATTGATCCCTAAGCACTGCAGTAGTAATGTCATTGGTAATTGTGGGGAGGGGGGGGGGGTCCTCTCTCTTTCAACTTAGCACAGTGGACTTCCTGCTAAAATGACTGAACTACCAATCGCAGATGAAAATAGAATGTCATTGAAGTGACCAGGGTATGGAATGAAAATCCCAAGTGTACAATAGACTCAATCAAGGCAGCACCTATTCCCAAAAAAAACATCAGACATATTTTTCCATTTTCACAGAATCAATTTACATTCTTGCAGGCTCCCAACAAACTCTCCTATGGAAATACAAATCCGATTTATGCATTACCTGCAGCACAGACTATCACTTTCATAGAGGGCAGCCGCTTTGGAAAAAACAAAACAAAACACTAAACACACCAAATTAAGGCCCAGCACCCTGCAGTAAGTCTCCTAGTTTTAAAAAAGGGTTTTATTCTTCGTCATCTTCATCACCGTAGTATCTGTTCCGCTTGATCTGCTCCTCCACTGTCAAACCTTCTAGGTCTTCACCTTCAAAAAACCCTACATCTTGGGATTTATGATTCGGACTAGCAGACAATTCTTTCGCGGTGGTTGAATTCAAAACCAAAAGTTTGGGAGACAGACAAAATGGCTCTTCTTTAGCGAGAGGTGCCGACTTTCCTGAGACAAATTCTTCTTGTTCTTCGTCAGTGTCGGGACTCCTCTGGCCATTCTCAACTAGGCCTTCTTCGGCTCTTGCTTCTCCCTTTCTCTCATATAGCTCTTTGTCCTCCCCATCTATATTTGAAGTATGACTATATTCAGCTGCATTGATTCCTCCCATTGGTTTGTTTTCCACCACCATTTCCCTTGTTTGTTCCTCACTTTGCCAGATTGCACTCCTCTCGGCCTTGAGAGGAGAGGCTTCAGTTCTGTGACCCTTTACAGATACCGTTCTAAATGAGGCTGCAACTGTAAACGGTCGGCTCCTTTCTTTCAGCGAAGATGACCTTCGCAGTTTTTTAAGATCTTGGTCCACTTCTTCTTGATGATCTGGCTTGGAGACCTCATCTTCCGGGGGCCATTTTGGCTTTGACACTTTAATACCCTCTTCCAAGAGCCCCCCTTGGTTGCCATGCTCAGAAGGAGGAGGCCAAGCGATCTTCAGCTTCTTGGTTTCTGTAGGCTTCTCCTCTTTCTCAGCCACAGCGGCAGCCTTTGCCTCCATGCTTGCTGCGAGGATTCCAACCTTTGCAATTGGCGCATCCTCCACTCCTGGACTTTGGGGGCCTTCCATGGCATTTCCAGTATAGGCAGATTTCTCCTGGGATTCCTCATTTTCTATTTTGCTTGACCACAGTTCCTTGTGTGGCTTATGCCCAAAGCCTTCATCATAATTGCCTTTGGCTTTAAAGAGTTGATTGAAGTGAGGCTTGCAATAAATGCTGCCGTGCAGAGAAGCATATGTTCCCAGGCTGTACAAAGGAAACACAATACAGAGACCAGCATGAGCACACCTGGTAATTCACAAAACAAACTAACAATCTGAAAACACTCCAAAGTGCAATTGCATCATGCCCACACTTACTCTACCCTTGGGTTAGTATATATAACAGGATATTATGTACACGTGCAGCCAATGAGGTGATCGTTTCTGAACAGAAGTGAAATGGTTGCTATATGCCTTCAAGTCTCTTCTGACTTACAGTCACTCTAATGCAAACACATGCAATTTTCGAGGCTCTTTGGCTGAAGAGTGTGGCTTGCTTAAGGTCACCCAGTGGGTTTCCATGATGGGTGAGGAATCAAATCCTGGTCTCCAGTGTCCAACCCTCAAGCTTCTACACCACACTGGACCTCAGAGTTACTTTTAAATATTTTATCTAGTCAATCTCATTGGCTCTTCCTTTTCAAAAAGTTTCTTTCAACAAGCAGTAGCTTAAAATGGGACATCATTCTTTATATTTTTTATATTGTCCAATTGTTTGGAAAAGATGGTGCTCTGATACCAGTTTCTTTCTATAATGATATCAGAGGTGTGTTGAACCCATTTGACAGCTGGGAAGGACTGTCATTTGGGCTCAATAGCTAAGTGAAATGGAACTACTGTATCACTGCTGTGGTATGAAGATATGATTATTTACTGAGGGTACAACCTTCTGCATATAAACCAAAGCTATATGGTAGGAAGACCAATGGCTAAGTTCTTATATCCCATGTAACCAATGTTGGGAACAGATACTAATTCTGAGTGTGTACTATCTTCCCATTTTTGTACCTAATAAGCGTCTTTGGGGATTTTCTGGATTGTTTTGAAACTAGTCTCAGTTATCCTCGCAGATGCTTCTAGGAGCCCCACAAGGATGACAGAAAGGTAGACTTGAACTTGAAATTCCTACTCTGAACTTGGAATTCCTACTTATATCTCTCAACAACTATTACCTATGATACAAAATTGTATCATTTAATTTCTTAAAACCTTTTAAGTTAGTTTCCATTGCCATACCTTGTAGTAATGAATTCTGCAAGTTAAAATTATACCTGTTCTGAATTGTTTACTGACATATCACCCTCATTCCTAGAGCTCCACTACAATTTATGGATGATTAGCTTACTGCAGGGCGTATGTAAACTGAATTTTAAATAACAGATTCTCCTGTAACCCCCTAAGATCAGCCAAGAATGTCCAGTTCACATGTCTCAGCACTACTGTGCCAGAGAACACTTCCCTTTCCCAGCCCCCAGTTTCATTAATCTTTAAAAGCAAAAGCAACCTACTTTTGCTTTTAAAACAGCAATGCTGTACCTGATGGATCTTAGACTTACGTGAGTTTGCTGTTGCAGTAAGAACAGCGGAAACAGCTGATGTGGTATACTTGCTGGTTGGCAAGCAGGCGCTCCATGGGATATACAGTCTTCTTGCATGCAACACAAGCTTCCTTTGGTGGCAACTGGAACTTCTAATAGAAGAAAAATGAGCTGTTATTATTATCAAGGTGAAACTAGTGTGTGCTCACACTTTACTATTATTCCTCCAGTACCCCTGTAAGTCTAATATATTTCAGTTCAACTCAGAAGCAAGAATATTTCTCTTCTCAAAAGGTCCCTTGTTATAGTCAAGTAACAATGGCTGGCTTTATGAAAATGGGTAATATGCAAACATCATTTAATGTTACAAATTGGAACCAAGTTCAATCTCTCAGAAGATCAGTTAATGGGGCTGCAGGGGAGGAATGCAAGGGGAGATGAAGAGTAGGTCAGCAGAAGCTCAAAGGAATGGTGACACACATGGAGCAGTTCACACTGAATTGTTCACCTTTTGTGGCAGATCAGCTTCACAATAAAACAGCAGGATATGCACATAAGCAACCTGAACGGTCTTAGACATCGTGTCTTCTAACTTCTCCTGTACATTGAGTAAGTCTTTTATTTTAATGATACATGGATGCTCATATCTTTTTGTTCAATCATGTTTTTTTAAATACAGAAGGCTTTCTTAAAAGCACAAAGCTGTGAGTGGATAGCAAGGGTGCATTTAATTGTTTTTGGATTGGAAGCCGAGAAATTGGTTTTAATTTTGTTTATTTATATGTGTAGGGGAAGGGGGAACATTTTAGAGGGAGAACATTTACACATAATATAAGCTATTTACGACACATTAAGGCTTTGTATGTAAAATAACACCAAAATAGATTTTAAAAGAAAGTCATTCCAGTTCTGCAAACAGTGCTTTAAAAAGGCAGCAGGTGATGCGTGCAGTCCCATAAAACCATCTTCAAATGTTCATTGTGCTCTGCGATAAAAGGTGTGGCCCAAAAGTAAAGAGATATTGTATGGCAGTGATAAAACAAATTGATTTATTGTTCTGCCAGGTGGGTGATATGCCAAGGCAGCCTAAACAAGGCTGGTCATGTTAGCAGCACAAAGCTGCTTCTATAAACACAGATAAATACTATTTTCCTTTCAAAAAGCAGCAGCAGCAGCAGCAAAATCCTACAAATCACAACTCCCCAAAACGGTATTCTTTTATGCTGATGATCAGTGAGCTCCCAATATTATGAGCTATTTTAAACAGTAGGAAAATTGATCCCTTTAGTGACAAGCAGGATCCAAGCCATAAACATGCTTGGCTACCAAAATACTGGATTTCCCTAATTTCATCAGGCATCAAATATTTGCCCTGCATGACACGGATTGCGGTGACAAACGCTTCCCATCCAACTTACATGCATCTATGCAGAAGGAGTTTGGGATGTGTAGATGTATATTCTTTTCCAAGCACGCTATGAATAGCAACTACAGAAGGGTGAAGTCCGGTTAATAAAAAGAGGAGAGCAGGCAAGAAAGCTGAGAGTTGAGCTCACATTAAAAGGGAGGCAGAAGGCAGGAGTAGAGATTAGGAACCAGGAGCAGGAAACAGAAGCTGGAAAAGACAAACGGCTATTTATAAACATATATCTGGGTTGGTATGAAAGCACACTACCAAGCTTCTTGGGTGCAAACTATGTTACTTACTTACACGTTGCTCAATTAGGACAGATAGAACCGATAATTAAGTTTGTAGGTCCAAGGAGCAATGTGTCCCACAAAATAGTTCTCATCGTCACATCATAATGAAATATTCTACAGCAGTTGTTGCTATAGAAAAAAACTTGAAATAGAAAGTAACTATATATTTTTGTATTTTCTTTCAAAAACTGATTGGGAACTGATTGGGAACTATACATAGGTTATACAGCACATTAGTGATAGAAATAAAACTACACTATTTCTGATCAGAGAAGCCACAATTATTTGTTTTCCCTATTCCCTCCTGGAAAACCATATACTCTTTCTCTTCCAACATATCTCATCAATTTACCTACGAACAGGTGTTGTTGACGTTGTGAGCCTTCAAGTTGTTTCTGACTTATGATGACCCTAAGAAAAACCTACCACAGGATCTTATTCAGAGGGGCATGGCCTTTGCCATCCTCTGAGGCTTAGAGAGTGTGACTTGCCCAAATGAGATTTCCCTGACTGAGAACAGATTCAAACTCTAGTTTCTGGAGTCTTAGTCAAACAACAAAATCACTACAACATGCTTGCCTTTCAAGAACAGGTGTGGCAGAATCAACATCCTATATTTAGCATAATTAAAATCTGGTATTGGGCTCAGATATTCACCATATGAGGTGTCCAAAAGTGATCTTTCCAATTTCAATTGGAAAATGTCAAAATAATTTTCAGATGCCCTGTATATCCCATGGATTTTAGAACTGCAGGATGAGTTAGTGACTTCTTTTATGTGAGAGGATGTAATAATATATGGATAGTTCAATTTCTGAGAGAATCAGAATTATCTGTGTTGTCGAAGGCTTTCATAGCCGGAATCACTGGGGTGCTGTGAGTTTTCTGGGCTGTATGGCCATGTTCCAAAAGCATTCTCTCCTGATGTTTCACCCACAGACCCCTCAGTCTCTGAGGATACCTGCCAAAGATGTGGGCGAAACGTCAGGAGAGAATGCTTCTAGAACATGGCCATACAGCCCGGAAAACTCACAGCAACCCAGAATTATCTCTTGATGATGTTAAGGTTAATCTGCATGGATAAGACTGCATTTTTTTCAGTGCCTAAAATAAACAAAAACCTGGTCCTTAAAAGTGATACGTATAACAAATTGCGTAATTTAGAAAGGCAATTGTCACGATAATGCATAATTTAGAAATATTCTAATTAATAAAAGAACATAATTACTATCACAGATATATGCAGTGTTGATTAATTTAAATCCACCCAGTGGGAAGGTAAAGCAAAGATGCCCAAGTAATTTCTATTAAGACTTGTCTTTTATATATGGGACACAAATGTTGATTAATACTGCAAGTAAAGGAACATTTCAAAACTTTGTACATCAGTGGTACTTTTGACCAGAATGGATTATGAAAATGTTAAACAAATAGTGTGACCTGGGGTTCTGAACTGTGCCCCCAGGAAGAAAGACAATTTCCGCAGTGGCATAGAGTGGATGTTTTTGCTATATTGGCAATCTCTTACACACTGGAGGATTTGGGACTTGTTTCTTTTGCATTGCCCGTTGCTACAACAGATATATTCACAGTACCTTCACTGCTTTCGGGGGAGAAATATCCGTCTGGCTGGATCCTCTAGAATCAGGACTTTGTTGTTTGGCAAAGACGGACCTCGAGACTTCACCATCCTTCTGGAAACTGAATCCAACTGAAAACAGAAGTAGAAGTCTTATTAGTATTTAAATCTTTTAAACTGCAAAAGTTCATTTCCCATCCTAGTTTAAGAAAGATACAACTAAACTAATGAAGGATGACCTTCAGGGAAACCAAATGGAAGCAATAAAATGTGACAGTGCTCCTGGCTTCTTTAAATGCAAGATTTCTTTTCCTATACATGAAACTTTCCTCTTTCAGGTGAAACCAGGGCTTAATAGGTTTCAAATATCCAGTTAGAAAGGAAAACAATTCTTTTTTGTGTTGAAGATAAAAAAGCTAACAGAATGGGAGGGGAGGGGATGCATAAAAAAAAACAAACCAATATCTACATTTGAAAACTCCCCAAGCAATTCTACACTGGAAATAAAAGCAACCCTTTTCCTTTGGCCATAATGGTACAGAAAGGATGTTAAAAGGCATTACAAACAGGGGGAAATTGATACACAATGAAGCTAGAGAAAGCCACACTGCCTAGACATGTTTTGAAGTATTGTTATTTAAGAGCATTTAATTTTGATTTTATCTACTTGCCAGTTATTTATTTATTTATTTATTTATTTTATACTTTCCTTTCTCCCCATGAGAGAAAGCATATTTATGTATTTATGTATGTATGTATTTTGGCTACATATGAAGCCAAGGTGAGTCCAAGGTCATCCCTATCATAACATTCAAATTCATCAGCTGATGTTTGGAGTGGCTATGGTATACGATTTCTGGATCATGGGATTTCAATGTTTATACTAGGATGATTTTATGCTTTGTCTGAATGTTTAAATTTTATGTATGCCTTATGTTTAATGGTTTTTAATTAAGTTCATAGTTATATGTAGTAATTAGTTATTATGATTTCTTTGTGTACTATATGTTGGCATTGAATTTTTGCCATTAGTATGTTGTAAACCACCTTGAGGGGTGGGGAAAGAGGTATATAATATAAATACAGTAATAAATAAATAAGTCTCTTTCCTCTATTTTAATAATATCTACACACTCTCAATGTAGTATGCTTCCTTTGTGCACACAAACACCTTCAGCCATATTTTCCTAAGATATGAACCTTTGCAGGTATTTTAAAAAAAAACCTCATATTAAATCTTGACCTTCTGGAAAAAAAAATACTAAGAATAAATTTGGATGAATAGCTAACTGGGAAGATTGATTCTACCTTCAGAGTCTGGAGCTAGTTGGAGAACACAGAGCTGATATGTATTTATAACCTCGGCCACCAAAAATTTTAAACCTCCAATCATCTTTAATGGTAGACAGGATGAAATTAAGAACTTACTGTTGCCATCTTCACCGTTGCTGGCATTCAGACCATCTCCTACGGAAATCTGCGTAGGAAATATAGATTTTGTTAGACTCCCATTATACAAATATCCAAAGAAGTGGAATTGCCTCCTTATGTGGCAATGTGTATACTGTATAATTAATGTGTGCATAATTTTATATAAAAACAAAAATACATTTAGGAACAATCACAACAAGCCAATACGTTGGTGACACATAAGCCAGACTGGAGATCAAGACAAAATAAGCACAACAACCGCAGGCCATTAGAGTTATAGCTCTGCACTGCCAGGCATTTTAAGATTAATTCTGCTTTTCCATCATCTTGGCTGAGATGGCAAGAACAAATCCTTTCTCTACTTAAAATACTTCGGTATCTGATCACTTTAGTATCTTCTCATTGCCATTGTTCTGAGTTCATATTGTTGTTTTATATATTACTGGTTTTATTTTGAATTGTACTGTGTGTTTATTCTATGTGTTGTTTTAGGCACATTGTACCATGTGTAAGCAACCCCAAATTCCTTCAGGGAGATGGAGGTGGGATACAAACATAAAGTTATTGTTATTATTATTATTATTATTATTATTATTATTGCATATTACGGCTACGGGCGCCTCAGCACCTCTTCATAATTCTTCAAAATCTATTGAAAATAGATCATAATATATCATAATTCCCAGATATCTTGGAGGGGTGATTTGCTATTTAATATTATTTTGCCCCTCAATTAAAAAAAACATTAAAATATAAATTGTAAGTGACTTTTCTTGTCTTAGACATGAGGTAGACATGCTCTTTCTCCTTTCTTTGAATGGATTCTAAAGTGACGTACCATATCTTTTGTAGTTTTGATAGTCTCTTGGCTCCTAAGTCTTTAAAAATGACTACAGGATATTTGTGCATGTTTTTTTAAAGTCTTGCTTCCCTAAATGCCAAAATAGTTAAGATTTAGCCAGTAAGGTCGATATAAAGTTGTGGCTGATGCTCGCCTTGGAATAATTTTAATATACACAGGTCTTGCTGTGCTTCTCTCATGATACTGTGTCACCAGGAATGCTGGAGACATGCATCATGTTCACACTTCTGAGATACACAAAGGGGTCCAGTTCAGGAGGCTGGAAACTCATTAGGTCTCGTACAGAGACTGAGTTAAAATTGTTTACACTGCTCTAGCATTTAATCAACTTAGCTGATTAGAATTGCTTTCAATTTATTCACAGATCCCGCAGCACAGCACCCCCCACCAGACTACTGCATTTGTGTGGATTATCCATGACTACAGCTGCTGCTACTGGGGGACCTTCAGCATGCAATATATTTAATGTCAGACTCATATCAGCTAATTTAACATCTAAAACCTGTGAAGGTTAATTGTGAAACTGCACTCCCAGATTCCTACCCACAACATTGCTAGAGTAATCCTCTCTCTATTAGCATTGACAATGTACCCAATTTTGATGGCACTTCTAACTTTTACTCTTGGAACTCTCCAAACCAACAGGCAATGTTTGCTGCAAAATTCCTGGAGGACCCTTCCACATAGATGAATAAAATCTCACATTATCTGCTTAAAATATTTGGCAGCGTGGACTCAGATAACCCAGTTCAAAGCAGATATTGTGGGATTTTCTGCCTTGATATTCTGGGTTATATGGCTGTGTGGAAGGGCCCTGGGTTCTTTCATGAGGTTAAAGAAAGCACCGGGAGCTTGTTTACTCATTATGTGCTATTGTGATAGGACTAGGACAGGGACAGTGCATTCTTTTTCAACCTGAAGCCCTCTGGGCCCGTTACTATAAATCTACTACTATCCTCAACTGTCATGATTAATGACTGTGCCAACTGGATATGAGAGGAGCTGTAGTCCAAGAGAGCACCAAACCCGATCTACTTCCAGTCTCCAAATGGCAAAGTTGGCTATCCTTCATTCAATAGTAGGCTCCATTATCTTTCATGTCAGAAGCAACTTAAGAAACTGCAAGTTGCTTCTGGTGTGAGAGAATTGGCCATCTGCAAGGATGTTGCCCAGGGGATGCCTGAATATTGATGTTTTACCATCCTTTGGGAGGCTTCATTCATGTCCCCACATGGGGAGCTGGAGCTCAACAGATGAAAGCCTATCCCGCTCCTCGAATTCGAATCTCCGACCTTTCGGTCAGCAGTCCTGCCGGCACAAGCATTTAACCCGTTGCACCACCAGGGGGCTCCAAGTAGGCTTCCTGAAAGAGGGGTTGTTATTGCTGTTGTAGTTTTGAGTGTGGGTTTGACAGGCCCGGTTTTCAAATACAAAAACGCTGTCTTCTTTCCTGACATGCCTGCTCTATTAAATAAAAGACAGCTTAAGACTGCTCACACTAAGGAATTAATAGATCATAATAAGCTTAACAGCAGCATCTTGCTAATTTACCTTGGAAGCCCCATCCCAAGCAACTGAACTGTGCGAATTAGTAAGGAAGCACATAAGCTGGGATAACGACACACTGTGCCCATTTGGCTCATTTTGGGGGAAGAGGTCTCTCAAAGCATTCCACGGCAGATACTACAATGTTAGAGAGCTAATGGAGGGCATTCCTGCCCCAGCCCTCACTGTGATGTGAAAAGTGCAACAGAGCAGTGCTCTCAGCATGCAAACTGAAGGATATGCACAGTAACCACACACGGGCAGGTTTAGGCAACATTTCTACTTATATCTCCTACATTCACATGGAATAGCTAGGCCTGTATGTGTGGATTTTTAAAAAGGCAAGCACTGACACATCCTTTCCCCAGCCTCTATCCCCATTCTATCCCAGTTTTTCTTGCATGAGCTCCCCATGCACTTTAAGCAAACGCTGAGTCACCAAAGGCAGGAAAGCCACAAAAATGCCTATAAATTAGAGAGTTATTCACTCTTTCACATCAGCAGGAAGAGGCCTTTTATTCAGACCATCCACATAGCTGTAGGAAAAGGGAACAAAGAAGGAAATTAGTGCTTGTTCTGACATAAGCTCACCTCTTACTGGGGAAGTTGTTTCTGAAATACTCAAGAGGTTACATACATCTGAGGATTCAGGACAACTCTCCAAGAGAACAGCTATCTGCCCAAGGAGGATGTGCCAACAGTTAATCCTATTCCAAAACCTGGGTATTTGATGGTAGCAGGAGTGGGAAGGAGTCCTGTGACATACATGCTTCTCTAGGTTTCATCATCAACAATGCATGAGGATGTAACTGATCACTCCAGTTAAGTAATACAACCATGGTTTCAATTTCTGGATTACACTAAAAGTAGGGACACATTTCTAGGCAAGGAAAAGATGTCCCGCAGGACTAGGAAGCTAGGAAGTTCTTGCACTTGCTGTGGGAAGGCCTGCTACTTAGTATGGGCATAAATACTTAAATACGAGGGTTGAATGAAAAGTAATCCCTCCACCATCGTTACTTGGGTTTGGATGGGAATATTTTAATAAATCAAACACAGAAATAATCCTTAGAATGTGCTCTTTAACTACCACTATTCACTTTTCCACATAATCACCAGACAATTTGATATATTTCTGCCAACGATGAAAAAGTTTTCTGAAGCTGTCACAAAAGAAGTCGACACTCTGTTTCCGCAACCAGAGTCTCACAGTTCTCTCAGTGTCTTCACCAGATACATAATGATGTCCCCACAAATGTTTTTTCATTATCGGGAACAGTGCTTAATCTGGACTGTATGGAGGATGTCGTATGATGGTGAGATCCAATCTCTGAAGTTTCAAGTCTGTGCGCTTTCATTACAGGTGTCAGCATCCTGGGTACCCATCATGCACAGATCTTCTGATAGCCAAGCAAAGCAATAATATGACCCACATGTTCTTGTGAAATGCCGATTATGCTTGAAATTTCTCTCTGAGTGATACTATGATCGTCCTGAATCAATCTGTCAACGTTTTGCTTGTGAAACTCAGTGGTTGCTGTCACAGGATGACCCACATAACATCAAGACTTGGACACGGTGTGTTCTTCACTCTTTGCTTGTCACGCAAGTCAGATGTTCCCACCTCAACATCTTTAAACTTTCTCGCCCAATGATGCACAGTACTCACATCAATGCAATCACCATAAACAGCTTGCATTCTCTGATGAATCTCCTTTGGGATGACACTTTCTGCTGTCAAGAATTCAATGACTGCACATTGCTTAAGTCGCATTAACCGACCGTTTGCACAGGGTTCCATACTTCACACTTTAACAACACAACCGTTCAATGCTAAGGCTTCCTGCCAAAATGGAACTGTAGAGGAGGGTCTACTGAACAAGCCAGTACCTGCCGCATACCAGTACTGCCATCTGTTGAGGAGTTACGAAGATGGAGGCATTACTTTTCATTCAACCCTCGTATTTAGCTCACACACTCACATGCACACACTCTACAAGTAGTAAATATGGAAAGGATGGGAGTTTGGAGAATGTCTGAGGTACATAAATAGGAGGGACCCGCATAATATCAAGACTTAGACAGATATTTAGAGCCACAGGCTGCAGTCTTGAACACAGCGAGACAACCTAAATCCCATTAGCTTCAGTAGGTTAACCCATTAGCAGAATTGCAGCCACAGTGTGTTCTTCACAGTATGAACAAGAGAGGATAAAGAACAGGATGCGTCTCAGCTTTGCCTTCCTCTGGCCCTTCTAAACAAAGGGATTCCTCTAGTCTTTTGCATTTGCTTTGAATTTCCCAACTGAGGATATCCAGTTTCAACAAAAAAGAATTGCTACATAAGAGTCTCCACTTCCAGATTAATAAAGGAGATGAAAAGGGAGAGAAGTATTGGTTTCAGTGACTTGCCCAAAGTAATGAACAGACACTAATGTTTCTTGTACCCAGCCACCACCCCCATGGAAAAAAAAACTCCTTCTAACAAGTGAGCACTGTGCACTTTGAGGCAATGCTCACTCTTCCACCTTCCCAAATCCAAGTACAGTTGACCCAGGAAAAGCTCCTACCTGAGTGGGTAGAGCATGTCCCAAGCAAACCTACAGAAAGGAGTAAGGGTTCACAATCATCTGCTGGGCAAAAACAACGTTTGAGCTACACAGGAATCTTACATATCAAGGATATTCAAACCACAAATAGGATGCTACTCAAAAACCCTTTAACTGCCACAAAATCAAACATTCAAGATTTAAGTACTGATCAAGTATAAGGAGAAAGTGCACACTTCCTGGTACAAATGCTTTAAAGATAAACTTTCCTTTCTACAATATTATAGCAAGAACCTTAACACAGCCTGCAACCAATTTTCATCAGTAGATGCAATTCAGTTTCCAGATGCTGTGGTTTTATAGCATTCTGGGTGTGCCTCTTCAAGCTCTAGTCCAAGTGAAGTTGCTCTGATCTTCAGCCAACATGACCATCTCTTACCTTCTCCCCATCCTCCTGGGGAAACAAGTCTTCAGAGCAAGGGGGCAAGTTCTCCTTCTGTTCATTGCTGTCTTCACTTTCACTGGCTTCAATCTCATTCTACAGAAGGACAAAGCACTTGAGCATTTGTATATTTCAATCCAAAAAGAAAAGGCTACCTGGGTCTTTATGAGGGGTTTTCTCTAGGGAGGAAGGAATATAGTGTATGACACGGATACACTCTTTGTGCCACACCAGATCCGAAATCAGAAATCACTAGACAGGATCCATTGGTGTACAGGATAACCCTCATATCTGCAAGGGATATTATCCAGACTTAATATGGAAATGTGAAATCACAGTTGGGTAAATTAAATTGCGGTCCTGTCCATGGCCATCCTGTATTTCTTCTATATCCCACTACTGCTGCAACAATTAGATATTCTACCCCTCCTGAGACAATAAAGTAAATTGGTGGAGCTTGGCCACCATCTGCCACAAATATTACAACTTGTTAATACTATTATTTAATCATGTCTTGGATAGTTTACAAAAGAAAAATTGGGATTTAAGCTCAAATAATAATAATAATAAATTTTAGAGCACAATACTCCTGACCTCACAATTGTGTTAAAAAACCAAGTATGGATTGTCGATGTTGCAATCCCAGGTAACAGCAGGATTGAAGAGAAACAACTGGAAAAGCTGACATGATATGAGGATTTAAAGATCAAACTGTAAAGACTCTGGCACAAGCCAGTCAAGCTGGTCCCAGTGGTGATCGGCACACTGGGTGCAGTGCCTAAAGACCTTGGCCTGCACTTAAACACAATCGGCGCTGACAAGATTACCATCTGCCAGCTGCAGAAGGTCACCTTATTGGGATCTGCACGCATTATTCGCCGATACATCACACACTCCTAGACACTTGGGAAGTGTCTGACGTGTGATCCAATACAACAGCCAGCAGAGTGATCTTGTCTGCTGTGGACTCATCTGGTTGTGTTTCAAATAATAATAATAATAATAATAATAATCATCATCATCATCATCATCCCACAATATCCACTACATGTGCTATTTTATCTGTGCTGGCTATAGTTAATAGGAGATGTAATCCAATTACTTCTGGAGGGCCAGAGATCTCCCAGTTTTGACTTAATGGGTACTTTTCGTGCTAGGAGCAACTTGAGAAACTGCAAGTTGTAATATTTGTGGCAGATGGTGGCCAAGCTCCACCAATTTACTGGAGCAAGAAGATTGGCTGTCTGCAAGGACGCCCGGATATTTGATGTTTTACCATCCTTGTGGGAGACTTCTCTCATCTCCCCGCATGGGAAACTAGAGCTGACAGACAGGAGCTTGCCCTGCTTCCCAAATTCGAAATGCCAACCTTTTGGTTGACCAGTTCAGCCAGTACAAGAGCTTAAACCATTGTGCCACCAGGGACTCCAGAAACAAAATAGACTGAAAAGAAAACTGTCCCAAATTAGCAGTAAGTAGCACTATAAAAAAAGATGGCCGTTACAGTAATATAACAAGATCAAGACATCTTGTTCTGAAAAGTTAGATATGGAAATTAGAAATCCCTATAGTTGCTATACTTTGCGGCCTGAGTAATGGAGACAATTACGTAGGCCACAAAATAATAGCGACAATTGTTCAAACTCATTCTGAGCAGAATCTATTGACAGGTTGACTGTGGATGTCTTGGCTTAATATCCATAGAGTCCACTGAGTGCTCTCCCCACCCACAGAGTTATAAAAAAGTTATCCCCAAAAGGAAATAAATTTATCTTTCCTGGCCCCAAAGCTCTTTATGAGAAGCAAAGAGGAGGGCTGTGTCCTGTCAGTTACACAACAATTATATGGATGAAGCATGTAACCGAGTAAAGAGAAACCTGCAGCCTTAGTGGCCACTGCACTGAAACCTTAAGACCCAAGCAACATCCTTTGATATACCTAAGAAGAGTCCATACCAGCAAGGGAGTGCAGTTCCTAGATGCACAAAACATGTAGGCTTTAAACTCAATAGCTCTTACTTATTAAGGCTACTTGGCCAAAAAGTGCCTTATTCCTTATCATCTGAAGCAGTTAAGTCTCCAGAGCTGTAAACTGACTCTGCACAGAAACCGTTGCTAACGGCACTCACAAAACAGACATGAACTCTGACCCAAACCAGCTGTTCGCAAGAATTTATCACAAATTAGCATTGTAGTGGTTAAATGAGCATGGAACCCTCCAGCCGGAAGCCCCAAGGCTCCCTCCTCCCCAGGCATCTACTTTTGTCCTTTTCACAAGAATCCCTTCTACCACATGGGGCCTGTTTAAGACAGTACCACATACTCTTAACATAGCTACAGCTCTCAGGATGCAATTGAAGAGTTGTCATCCAATACAGTCACAACTCTTAAGCATTAACCTGGAACAACATGGGAATTAGGGAGGGGAGGAACTGGAAAAGTAGCCTCAGACTAATGATGTGCCAAATATCACCAAATTTCCAAGATCAGGTATCCACAACACCGCTTTTCTTTAGAAGGGCGTTCCCAAGGCTTTGTTACAAACACCTTGGTGTGGCAAGAGCTTTAAACCAAAGCAACTTGGCCTCTTTGGCCATTACTGAAATCCTGGACAGATTTTTGTGGTAAGTGGTTAATTGAGTCCTTAGATATCAACAAATGACTGACATCTGTCACTTTGAGAAGAAAACTGAACACAGAGTCAAGGAAAGCCAAGCTTCAAAAGTAGAAGAATGAGAATAAGGCAGCCATTAGCAGATGAGGAGATTTATTAGACTAGGGGCAATTACCCATGCCATTAAATTCCCTTCAATTATTGAACTAGAGGATAGGAATTACAGTGGTGCATATGGCATGAAGAAGTCATTGCATTCGAGTGACAAACATTCCACTAGCAAGTTGTAATTCGATGGCAGATACAAGGCATGCAAGAATTTTCACAGGACACAGGAAAGTGGAAGATTGCATTGTTTTCCCTATGTAATGTGACCGGACTGTGTCAGCCTGACTGGAGCAGTCATTCCCTATTCTCTGCAGGGCCATACAATTCCTCAAGGACTAATGTTCATAATTAAAGAGTCCTGTGAGTCCGTAGAGTACCCATCCAGAGGTGCTTGCCTGCTGCATGGCTGTATGATCTGTTGGCTCAATCCATCTTTACACCTATTATTGCTGCATTCTCTGCTCAGAAAGCACATGGGCCATCCAGTCCCTTTTCCCATTGAGAAATGCAGCAAAATTTTTCTCTTTGGAAAAGAGGGGGCTCCCTGCTGTATCTCTGGCCAGTCACAGCTTTTGGCCCAAATTCTCCTGATCAGAGTGACAAATGGTGAGCTCCTTGAAGGAAAGAGCATTTTTACCTAGGCATACTGTTTTTTAGTCAAAATAGTGAAAGTTTGGGTTGCTATGAGTTTTCCGGGCTGTATGGCCATATTCCAGAAGCATTCTCTCCTGACATTTTGCCCACATCAATGTGTTCTAAAATCTTCCAGCTGGTTGCCTTGAGTCCCATTTTGTCAGAAAACTGGAATATACATTAAACACATAAATAAATGATCATACATAATTTTAACTCATTGCAGTGACAAACTTTGGTTCCTTTAAGACCTTTTCTTTGAAAAGGGAGCCTGTGATGCTTCAATTGTCCCTGTCCATTGGCCATGTTGTTGTTTTTTTTGTGTGTCAGGAGTGACTTGAGAAACTGCAAGTTGCTTCTGGTGTGAGAGAATTTGCCGCCTGCAAGGACACTGTCTAGGGGACGCCCGGATGTTTTTCACCATCCTTGGGGAGGCTTCTCTCATGCCCCCGTATGGAAAGCTGGAGCTGACAGATGGGAGCTCACCCTATCTCAAGGATTTGACCCATTGTGCCACCAGGGGCTCCTGCCATGCTGGCTCGGCTGATGGGAACTGGATTCCCAACATCTGAAGAACTGGAAGTCTTGTTTCTTCCCCCGCCCCACCAACCACCACAACTGTCAGCATTTCTTCTCCTGTTCAAATATTTAGCTAACAAGAACAGATCAAATACAGGTAGTCATTATGAATAAACTACATTACTGTACTATACAAAATGGAAGAAAACACCAGAGAGCAAGTGCAGAAAGAAGAATGTAGAGTGTGGGTTGCTTACAAAAACCAAATAGAGTGAACTTGGAAAGGTGGAAAGAAAGAATTCAGCAGAACTTTAGGCAAGTCACATAACCTTTTTGTGCCAGTATTTTCCCCATCAGGTTAACAAAGGTTGATATCATACTGCATGCAGATATCCTCAGAGGCAGAAAGCCAAGCATGCAAAAGAACAGGAAGGGAGCATTCCAAGAGCAGAGCAAGAGGAAGGCATGAATCTGAAAAATGTGAACAGAAAGAGGCTCTCAAACCCCTGCTGCCAGCAGCCCTCCAGCTTCGGAGCATTTGCCTTCTGCAGTGATCACTTGAACTACCTCCTGAAGCAGAATACTCTGGTGAGGAAAGGGCCAGCTATGTCTAGGACAAGGGACATACCGCATGACTGCCGGAGCTGCCCTGCTTGGATACAGCCGCTTGGTACTTAGCAAGCCTGTCCTTAATTGATGTTTCCGACAAGCGAGGCGGCATCTCCTGGTTTCTCCTGCTCTCTGGTTTCTCTGGGCTGGATGTTGGGGAAGTGGTGAAGAGGTGACCTGAAACAGAACGTGCAATTCAAGGTTATAGTGCCGACCGCAGATTGAGGTTGACTTATACACCACTATATACGGCATTTTGTAAAATTCCACAGCTTTTGCTTACAAGGCCAAACGAACTGCAAGGTGCAAGATCTCAAGGTCAGAAGTGGATTTATGTTTGTCAAAATAGAAATATGGCAACAGTAGCAATGTTTTGGCAAGTTGACAATTTGAATCTTACATCTGTTATCAGCTCACTAGGTAGCCTTAATGGCCTTGATTCCCCAACTGCAACACTGGCTTAGCTTAAATTGTTATTGTAAGAATTCCAACTACATAACAAAGTACTTTGAACACTACAAATGTACTATACAAGCTCAGTATAACACTGTTTTAACAATACGTAATTGGCTCTGTCAGCAAACTACAGTAACAATTGAAATTCTTCTTATGCATATATAATAATATATGGCAAAAGGAAGCTATATTGACATATTTATTCATTGTCTTTGCTAATTCTCTCTCTAAATAGTCCTCAAACACACCTTTCTGGGTTTTTAAAAAACTTTATTAGTAATCGTTTTGTTTGTTTCTTTAATCATATTTCCCCCAAAATCTTGTACCATCCTACAAGCCCACCAAACATGGAAAAGGATGCCTTTTTTTGTCTTGCACCTCCAGCATTCCCCTTGGTGAGATTTATCTATTTTAGCTATCCTCTCTGGAGTTATATAACGCCTATAAAACACTTTATACATATGGCAAAGGGACATTTCACTATCACAGTGTTAAGGTAAAGGTAAAGGTTTCCCCCTGACATTAAATCCAGTCTTGTCCGACTCTGGGGCATGGTGCTCATCTCCATTTCTAAGCCGAAGAGCCAGTGTTGTCTGTAGACAACTCCAAGGTCATGTGGCCTCCAAGGTCATGTGGCCGTTACCTTCCCGACAGAGCAGTACCTATTGATCTACTCACATTTGCATGTTTTCGAACTGCTAGGTTGGCAGAAGCTGCTACACAGTGGTACAATTCTATATAATATGTAATAATAACATATTATATAGAGGAGTATCACATACATACATTTGGGAACAAGTGGGAAACTGAAGTTCTCTGCAGCATGCAATGCATATATAATTTAAAGACACAAATACACACAATGTGTTATTCTTGCTTAATTACAGGGAAGATTTTCAATACAAGGCATGTATCTGGTGAGGAATATCTGCATTGTTATCCTCCAACATCCAAGTTTTCAAGGTGGGTAGGAAGGTCTCCTTCTCTTTCATTTTGCCAAAAAGGATGGATGCTCAGCATGCCACTGGACACACAGGAAATTGGACAATGCTCACCTGAGACATTGTGGCTTTTTTCTCCAGAGCTGAAATCAAGGTCCTCTGAAGAAAAACTATTCTCCGAAATTCTTCTATTACCAGGAGCCCTGCCTTGATCACGAAGAACCTGTTTCAAAAGACAGAAATGCATATATTTACTATCTAATCCCAAAAGTGACTGTTCAAACATCTTAAGCAAATAAGATCAACAGTTCTTATTATAAATCAAATATTCTCTTCATTGCCTACATAAATTACATCTACTTTTCAGTTTCATTGATTAAAATTATTGCCCACTCCTGCTTCAGCAATTACATTTTTTCAGTTCAGTTTCAAATACCAACTTCTATGTACAGTATGGGTCAGTGGTTTGAATCCGGGGAGTGGGGTGAGCTCCTGCTGTTAGCCCCAGCGTCTGCCAACCTAGTAGTTCAAAAACATGCAAATGTGAGTAGATAGGTACAACTCCAGCAGGAAGGTAATGGCGTTCCATGCAGTCATGTTGGACTCATGACCTAAGTGGTGTCTATGGACAATGCTGGCTCTTCAGCTTAGAAATGGAAATGAGTACCACCCCCAGAGTTGGACACAACTATACTCAATGTCAGGGGAAACCTTTAACTTTACCTATATACAGTATACTCACATATAGTTAACTTCACATATAAGCCAAGGGTTGGTTTTAAGGCCAAAATTATGGATTTTATATGACTCATGGATAAGTTGAGGATCACTGTGCATGAAGGAAAAGCACCAGTGCCATCCCAGGGGCCCAGCCGTCCCTGACCACAGCCACCAGCATTTCCACACACAGGCATTCAAAAATATGAGAAGTGACAACATGATGGGGAGAATGGAGGGATCAGCACTTATTGTAGGTGCTCCTGGGATGGACTAAGCTCTTGCACTTGGCCACTGTACTCAGAGAAGGGGGTGGTGTTTTTTATATATAAGAGTTAAAGAAGAATACTTACATTGGCCTGTGAATAGGTCTACCAAGTTTCTTCAGGTTGATGGACTGACTAAAACAGGGGTCCTTGAACTAAGGTCTGGGGGCCAGATGCAGCCCACCAAGGTCATGTACCTGGCCCTCGCTCAGGGTCAGCCTAAGTCTGAAATGACTTGAAAGCACACAACAACAATAATCCTATCTCATCAGCCAAAAGCAGGCCTACACTTCCCATTGAAATACTAATACATTTATATTTGTTAAAATTGTTCTTCATCTTAATTATTGTATTGTTTTTAAATGTTATTTTGCATTCATATTTTTTTCAAATTAAAATCCGGCCCTCCATCAGTTTGATGAACTGTGACCTGGTCCCCTGTTTAAAAAGTTTGAGGACCCCTGGACTAAAATATGTAGACCAGTGGTTCTCAACCTGTGGGCCCCCAGGTGTTTTGGACTACAATTCCTAGAAATCCCAGACCGTTTACTAGCTGTTAGGATTTCTAGGAGATGAAGGCCAAAACATCTGGGGACCCACAGGTTGAGAACCACTGACATAGGTAAAGTGTTTTCAGGTGTCACTTCAAGAGCCTTAATTTACCTCATAAAATGAGGTCTCAACTCCCTGTCCAGTTATAACTCCCTATCCAGCACGGAGACTGTCTTTATGTGATAAGAATGGGGAAGCTGTGGCCCTTTAGGCATTCCTGAATTACTCCCATTATATATGGCCAATGGTTATACTTTGTGTGTGTGTGTCAGGAGCGACTTGAGAAACTGCAAGTCGCTTCTGCTGTGAGAGAATTGGCTGACTGCAAGGATGTTGCCCAGGGGACACCCGGATGTTTTGATGTTTTACCATCCTTGTGGGAGGCTTCTCTCATGTCCCCGCATGGGAAGCTGGAGCTGACAGAGGGAGCTCATCTTCACTCTCCCCTGATTCGAACCTCCGACTTGTTGGTCTTCCGTCCTGCTGGCACAAGGGTTTAACTCATTGTGCCACTGGGGACCCTGGTTAGACTAAGTAGGGCTATTGCATATTGCAGTCTTACAACCTTTAAAGGGGAGTACATTCCTTTCAACCTTGCCTTCATTGTTTCCCACTTCACGTTAGATCTTTATTTTTACCATGCATCTGCCTGTGACCACTGAGATGCCTGAACATTTCCATCTCTCTTGAACAGCTCTCCCTTGGCGAGATTCCCAATCAGGAACTCTCTTGCTATAAAATGCTCCTTCAATCTCGACTTTCAAATATGTTCCTCCAAAACCCATGAAGACTTTGTATGAAGCTTACAGCCTTGAGCCCTTCCTTACACAAAGCATGCATTGTTATCCATGCTTGTGCATACATCCAAATGGCCCTTCCCCTCCCTCATCCACTCTTCCCTAAGCTGTCCGTCACCATCACACTGTGCCTTTATTTGTTTAAAATGTATGTTACTCCAATGCCCCAGGCATGTCGATATTACTCCACATACTGACATGTCAATATAATCTAGATCACAGGGGCAAATATGATTTGACAATTAGCATAAAAATGCCTAATGCGGGATAGAGACATGGCCCAGTCAGACTCAAACTAGGTCATTTTTTAATTTACAATCTGCCTCACCCTCTAACAGGTTCCCAGGACAGATCCAAATAGAGTGAAACAAGTTATGCACTTCTTGATTTAGTAATTAAAAAAATAGAATTTGAAAGATGAAAAACCACTATGTCACTGTAGAGGTTGATTCCCAATGACTCAATACACTGTGTGTCTCACAACTAACACATCCTACAACTCTTATGTTTCTCTGAGGGTACCCTATCAGACTGGAAAAAATGTTGGATGAGTGGGCTTATTAAGAAAAGACCCTCCACATACATGTACAGCAGAGTAACTTATCAGCAGCCGCGTGACCCAGCATAAGTAACCCAAAGTAATAAAAAGAACAAAAACACAGAGACCAATGTTTTCCACAGGAGGCTTTTCGTTGTAGTAAAATAATATGGTTTGAACTATTTACAAGAACTAGGTTTCCCTAACACAAATAAACAAATACATAATAGCTTTACATGCAGCCTTCACACTGGAGCTTTCTCACACAAGGGCTTCTCTCACACTGAGGCTTGCCTCACACTCTTCAGGACGACATTAGCTTTGGCCCACTAACTCTAACAGGCTTTGGCCTACTCACTCTTCTCAGGATGACACTAGCTTTGGCCCATTGACTCTAACAGGGTTCGCCCTACTAACTTTTTCAGTGCTTGACTCACACTTTTGTAATCAAAAATACCTAGTTAATATTTCTGACACCCCTTCTATTTTTGATTACAAACACCCCCAATTTAAAATCATACATACATATATACATAAATACAATTTGCTGTTAAAATTCACAGGATTTTACATTTCACAACTAAAATTTACATTGATCTAGTAATTCAAAAATGGCAGATATGATACATGCATTTCAAAGTAGGCAGTCCTTGAAATTTATGCTGATGATGAATTACTGAAATAATTTTGAGCTCACTAGTCATTTTTTAAAACTTGCCTTAACCTTTAAAAAAATTATATTCTTCAACAAGATGTCATAAAGTATAGCAAATCAATAGAAGTTTATCTCTGAAAAGAAAAAAAGTGAAAACTGAAGCAACTGCTAGAAATAAAACAAACTTATTTGGACAGTCACAACCCAAAGTCAGTCACTAGTGGAAATACATATAGTAATTTTTCAACCTTCGCTAGTAATACGTTTGAAAAAGAATAACGATGCTTTGTTCTGCTGAAGGAATGGTAAGAACAGCAGCCATAAAAGCCCATGTTAGCATGTTCCTACTGATCCCATAATTAGATTCCGTGACAATATATGGCCAAATGTGGATTTTTTGCTGATCTCAATTATTTCACTGTACCTTCTCTGTGATAGTGTGGGTTGTCTTAAACTATCAAACCTACAGAGGTTTGACACAAAGAATATGAAATCAAAGACAAGAGCTATATATTGAAAAGCCTGCCATATTTAGCTTCAAATCGCAGTATTCTTATGCCAGTGGTTCCCAAGCTTTGGCCCTCCAGGTGTTTTGGACTTTGGCTCCCAGATGTTCTGGCTGTTGGATGAGCTGGATGGGGCTTCAGGGAATTGGAAGTTCAAAGCATCTTAATAACCAAAGTTTGGGAACCACTGTTCTAGGCTATACCTACTCTTCATGGCCTGGGGGCTTCATTCCATCATCAGATTAAACTGTGTGTGTGTGTGTGTGTGTGTGTGTGTGTGTGTGTGTGTGAGAGAGAGAGAGAGAGAGAGGAGCGACTTGAGAAACTGCAAGTAGCTTCTGGTGTGAGAGAATTGGCCGTCTGCGAATATGTTGCCCCGGGGACACCTGAATGTTTGATGTTTTACCATTCTTGTGGGAGGCTTCTCTCATGTCCCATATGGGGAGCTGGAGCTGACAGAGAGAGCTCAACCCACTCTCCCCGGATTTGAACCGATGACTTGTCGATCAGCAGTCCTGTCGGCACAAGGGTTTAACTTATTGTGCCACCGGGGGCTCCAGATTCAACATGACTTTTTATTAAATGGACAAATTACGGAGGCTTAGGGTATTACATTTTGTTCTAATAAAGAGAAGCAGGAACGGTGTGGCCTTCCAGATGTGCCTGGAATGCTGCCCTCAGCAGTCCTTATCACTACCAATGTCAGGGAGGGCTGAAAATTGAGTTTTAACAACATCCAGGGAAAGCTATACAGTTCTCATCTTTATAAACAGACAATACAATGTGTAGAGTTAACGCAGTTTGCCACGACTTTAACTACCATGGCTCAATGCTATGGAATCCTGAGAGTTATAGTTTGGTGAGACATCAGCACTTTTTGGCAGAAAAGGCTAAACCTGTGAAACTACAACTCTCAGGATTCCATAGCAATGAGTCATGGCAGCTGAACTGCATTAATTTGGCAGTGTAGATGCACCCACAGACACTTAAACAGATGTCCCCAACAGCTAAAGAAAATAGATTTTGCATTTTCCTATCCCTTTTTAGTACAGGAAGCAGCAGCGGGGTACTAGCATTGACCAAGATATATATAAAGAAGAGGGGGAGGGGGGGGGAACCAATCATTTGAAATGAAGGCAATTCTTTCCACAATTGTACTTACTCCCTTCTTCCCCCAACAAGAAGCAGCAGA